ATAAACCAGAGTTAAGTTATGTTTTGACAGGGGGGGGAAACACTTATTCACACAGGGCTTTGTAGTTTTGGATTTTGTTTTCCCTTAATAATAAAAACCTTCATTTAAAAACTGCATGATGTGTTTACTTGTGTTATCGTTGACTAATATTTAAATTTGTTTGATGATCTGAAACATTACAGTGTGACAAACATGCAAAAAGATAAGAAATCAGTAAGGGGGCAAATACTTTTTCACACCACTGTAGCTATTTAAATGTGTCTCTTTGGCCTCAAGGAAACTGTGATGGGATTTCTGGATATTTTGGGACAACAGATTAATCAATAATGAAAATAATCTTTAGCTTCAGTTCTGATCGCTGACAAAGTGATCAAGAATGTACAGTGTTTGCTTCACCCCCCCCCCAACTCCGAATGAAATGAGAGCAATGAAAGCAGGAGTAGCTGAGTCTGTGAATAGCAACAGAGCTGCAGTGTCGCACAGAGTAAACTTCAGCCTGAAGCAGTATCCTCACACACAGTCCATCTGAGGGAGTGAAACAAAGTGCTACTTGTCTGGCCGTGGCCTGCACAGCCCCTGTTGGCCTGTTATTCATTTACAATATCATTCCTAGTTGATGTTTAAAGGACAGTTTTGCTCTGGTGATAAACTGGACTGACTCCACAGACAGAGGAAGCAGCCCGATCAGTCAATATGTGTTTTTGTAGATGAAACTTAAAGATTAGGGACTTCGGTGGCCTGTCCTTTTAAATTCTAGGCCTTATCTCTAACCATTTAACAGATATTACATGGGACAGCTTTAAACCACAGACATATTGCTTTCCATAGGTGGCGTGTTAGTGCAGCGGTTTGCACTGCTGCCTCACAGCAAGAAGGTTCCGGGTTTGAACATCACGGCTTTTCTGTGTGGAGTTTGCATGTTCCCCCTGTGCCTACACGGGTTTTCTCTGGGTACTCCAGCTTCCTCCTACAGTCTAAATACATCCACATTAGGTTGACTGGTGACTAAATTGTCCAGAGGTGTGAAGTGTGGGATATGCTGTGAATACACTTTCCACAAATCTATGTAATTAATAGACAAACTGTGTTCTAAAATAATTCCTATTATATCTCTGAGTCCTGCATGCTCATCTCTATCTGCCTTTGACAGTCTGAAGGCCACTATGCAGACTATTCACTGCAAGTGAATTACCTTTCTTAGATAAGATAGGAAACAGGCCAACCTCTGCCTGCAGCATTAGAAGATAAATAGATCTTGGCTGGATGTCTCCTGGTGCCACCGCCACAGTTAATTAAAAGCAAGATATGTGATTTTAATTTAATGCTTTTACCTAAAGGGTGGGACCAGAAGACAAGAGGCCAAATTAGTGAGGACAGTAATGTTTACAGACTATCGCCTCCACATATGGCGTCTGTAGCAAGACCACAAGGGTTTATCTAGACTGATGCAACTAATGCTGCAACAGAGCCTGACATGATTAGATCCTGCTGTGGGGCTGCAGGACCTGTCTCTAATAAACGTGGCACCTAACAGAGCACTCTTCTTTGTTGTGCAGATGCTATCGCTAAATATCAAGTGGTATTAAGAAAACTTGTTGAGATGGTAGAGTAGATTTAAAAAGATGTAAAACACTTCAACATTCAAACACAACAAATAAAAGGGCACACTGTCCCTAAAGTAAGCAAATTTCAGCATAATGGGCATTGATTTATAGGCCTGGTTCATAGAGGAAGTCTTACAGTAAATAGAAACATTAAATAAGAAGGTAGTTGGAAGGGAAATAAATAACTGATAACATCTGGCTTCTGTAGGCACAGAACAGAATGTTCTCGTTGCAGCAGCTCCAGAGGCTGAAGACTGATCTGCACCTCAAGCACCAGGTTCACGTTTTTGGTGACAAACTCCATTAAAACTACCAAACTGAGACGCACACAAACACACAAAGTTGCCAGAAGTGTGACCCCTGATTGAAGCCTAGAAATAATAAAATAAAAGCTTGGAAAACCTTGAAGTATTGTGTTATTTTCTGCCTGTGTATCCAATGTTTTTGCTATTTTTCTTGAAATCAATTATTATTTTTTGTAATACATTTTATTGAGATGAATGTATTTTACAATGTATTGTTTTTAACACTCTACACTTTTGCACAGTGCAGATTTGGAGCAAAAATTTCAAAGCCGTATTAATGCAACCACCATCTCTCAGAGTGTTTACAGGATCCATGACTAGGGCTGCAACTAAATATCATTTTTATAATCAACTTCATTTATCAATGAATTAATCATCATGTCTAATGTCAAGAAACTGCCAAAATACCTATCACATTTTCCCAGAACTAAAGGTGACATATTAATCTAGCTGGGTTTGCTGCAGACAATCCAAAACACACAGATGATCCATTTCCATTTCAAAAATGAGAAACAAAACAAAAATGTTTGGCACATAGTTTCCCAGTGACTCAAACCATGAATCAGTTGTCAAAAGTGTTGCATTAACTTTCTGTCAATCAACTAATCCATAAATCCACTAACTGTACTAGTTCCATGCATGACAACAACAAAAGCACAAATGAAATGAGCTTATAGACTAAGATGCAAAAAAGAAGACACCACAAACACACAATTAGTGGCTGCCAAATGGCAAACAACCACCAACTGAAACAAAGATAAATTTGCCAAAATAAATATATAAATACAATGAGAAAATATATAAAGGCCCTGTCTATAACACGCTGGCCATGATGTGCCCAGACCTCAGAAATTATGGATGTGATCTTTTTTTTCCTTTTATTTAATCAGGAGTGTGTGCTGAATCCTCTCTAACTATTAAAATCTGGCTTAATTGATTAACTGTACTTTCCACTGTACATCCCTCTCATCTGTTGCCTGTTCAGACACTTAACTTACAGCACGTTGGTGGCCAGAGGGATATCTGCCGCTGCTGGGGCCCTCTCCAGCCCAATGTTGGAGCAGTTGACGACGCAGGACGGCTGGAGTCCCGCCAGCGCGCAGCTGCAGTTAACGGGACAGGGGCTGCAGCTCCTGTCGCCGTCCCCCTGCGGCCCGGAGCCCCGCGCCTCCAGGCAGCAGAGCGCCACAAGCAGACTGGAAAAGAAGCTAAACCTCGGGACGCAGACGCCATGTTTTCGCTTGGATAAAGTCTGTCCATTTCCACAAGGCATAGCTCACTCACATCTCATCGCCTCTGATGGTGTAAGTCCTCTCAGTCTGGGAAGGAACAAAATACACAGAACAGCAAACACACGCGTCCTTTCTTCACGGCTTTCATGTGAGGAGGCAAAACAGAAGAAGGGATCAACTTTTGGACACCGTTATTTGCGCTGCGTCTTCTATACTCTTCTGCTCACATCCCCTTCCTTGGCAAATCTAACGGAGCTTCTCCACAACGTTTTCAGGGGGAAAAAGTTTTGGAGGACTTCCTCTCTCCTCCTCCTCCTCCTTGCACTTCATGCAGTTCCCTGAACCACCGCTGAGAATCGGCACACGTCTTTACTTCCTCTCCCATTTTTTCTGCTTTTGCATGAACACGCAGCAGAAATGCCCAGATGTGATATATATATATATTTACATATATATAAGGGGCTGCTGAGTTACACAATTTGGTTGGTGCCCTTTGCAGAGCCATCGACTTCTCCCATGTGTGAAATACAGTCTCTCTACAGGTGTTTACAGTTTCAGGGTTTGTTCAGTGTTATTGTGGGTTTTTTCCCTTCTTTTCTACACTAAAGTTTTCAGTATTTGATGAACAATAACGTTTTGCTTCATATATTTTAATGTTCAATGTATTGTTTAGTTTGTTTTTTCTCTGCTGTCCTCAGGAGTGTTTGGAGATCTCTCTCAGGACACAGTGTTACTTGAAAACCCAGTGTGAGCCTGAGCCAAATGAACATAGCATCACTTTAAAATCTAAAATATTCCCCTTCAGTTTCACTTATGCTTAACTGACATGACAGTTAATATCTGATTTATCTAAAGCAGTATGAACTATTGATATTGTAACGTTCGAAGAAGGTAACAGCACCCGCAGCAGAACACACACTCAACAATCCTGCCAGCCCTGAGCTATATACATCCTGTCCAGAGGGGCATTATGGGGGATCCTGCCAGGTGCTTCTCCCCATGGGCATTCTGAGGGACCCTGCCAACTGTCTCTCCACTCCTAGTGCTACAATATGTAAGTCTGTGCGTTTCAATATCACTGAGGAAGAAGAGACACCCTAATAAATCCCCTTCTTCACCCACAGGTGGTATCTGTGGTATCATCTGAAGCAGTGCAGGCCACGTGTTAGAGGTGTTTCCTGGGATCCTTGATTTGGCCAGGGCCTGCCCACTCTCCCTACAGACATCTGTTGCTCTTCCTACGCCCTTATCCTCACAGCAACATTTCATTGCAGAGTTCTTATTTGAGAAGCAAGATTTTCTTAAAACTAGTTAATATACAGTTTCCTTTTTTTGCTTCCTAAGTTTGTTAAAATGTTGTATTTCACCCAGTCATAGACTCATGCTGCAGATATTTTCTCGTTATAGAGTATCTTATCATAGGCTGTGAGTATAAGCTCATGAGCATCAGGTGTAGTTGAAGTGTGGCCTTGCTGAAAGAGCTTGTCAGGGGCTGCATGTGTTTTTACAGTGAACAGAGATGAGGAGAGAGGGAAAAATGGCACAAATGTCCAAATAGTCCGTGTCAAGCTTAATTGCATGACCTATAATTACAGAGTCTAACAGGGCTTCACAGGCCCACGTTATACAGAGACACACCATCATTTCAGTTAAGCAAAGAGAAAAACCTCCACAGAAAATGTGACGGTGTCAGACTGTTCAATGCAGGGTCAGCTTTTAGTACTGATGTCTATAACAGCTTGAACATCTATCATTTCCTTTGTTAATTAATTTCTATCCAAATATTCACTTCTCATTATTTATTAATGTAACTTCATGCTTTGTGCATTGAATTGTATGTGTCCTTGTAGACAAACCTTTGACAAACATCCTCTAATGTTCAACTTCAAAGTACTGTAACAGAGTATGAGCTAGTTACACTGGGTATTAATTGGAACTCATTAACTGCAGCAAACACAATAACTAAACACGGCCTCAGTTTTCTCTATGGCAGCGTTTATAGATGTATATCAGCTGTCATTTACTGTCACCAGAAACACTGTATATGCATTTGGTTGTAAATCATAGTATTGACCAAACTAACATTTTGGTGCTAAATGACATGCAAATGGACCAAAGTTATTACAGTTCACCTTAAGGGGCTCATAAATATCTAGACCAAATTTCATGACTTCTGCACCGAGACAGGAATTTCAGTTCCCTCTGTAAAGCCACATTGTTAGGATGGCCATAACAAAACGAGTGGGTGTGTGGATCAGTTTGACTGTATCACATGACAGTGGAACACAGTTCACTGCCTTAAACCCAATATGTGATTTTGTATAAATATATGCATTTATTTATAACATATACTGATAGGAGAAAAAATGTTTTTTATAATCTGAGGATATGGACTTTTGCCACCCAGCTTGTCCTACATTAGTTCCTCCTGATTGAACGGCAATATTAAACCGGGAGTCTTGCTGAGCCGGCTTGTCCAAGTGTGTAAAATGTAGTATTTTGTATTTGTCTGGCCTGGACCAGTCCAGTGTGGGCCGGGTGAAGGTAAAATGAGCCTGGCTCCTGTTTAGTTATGGGGAGGGTCCTCCAGGCTGGCCAGGAAAACAGCACTTACTGGGGCCTCTGTCTGTGTTATTGTAGGGCTACAGGAAGAGAAGGGGAGAGGGTTGAATGCAGAAGGAGAGCGAGAGGAGGGTCTGGAGAGGGAGAGAGATGGGAGCACATAGTAGAGAGGAATAGCAGAGAGTTGTCAAAGGCTGAAAGACAGGGAGCTGAGGATTTGGCAAAGATAACAATAGTGATCAAAACCAGGACAGGAGAGAAAGAAGGAGGTGATCAGTGAAAACCGAGATGAAATGCACAAAAGTGAAAAGTAACTTTTCATAATCTTTCCACTCAAATTTTAAAAGATCACTCAGCACTGACAACAGCTACTGTATAATGACTGATTTCAGAATACACTGTAAAAAACAACCTATAGAAATTACCCCAAAAAAATGAGGTAACAATTTGCATTACATTTTTTCAGGTAAATCTTATCCCTTTCTTTGGGGTAAATGTTATCCCTATAGTTGGGGTAAATCTTATCCCCTTCTTTGGGAACATTTTTAGCCCCATTTTTAAGGCAAATTTTAACCCAATTTTTTAGTTAAAGAGTACCTAAACTCAAAAGCTAATAAACAATCAACTTATTAACTAAAAATATATTATTAATAATATTATTTTAGCAGGCAATTTACCAAAGTACATAATAATAATAAATCAATACCTTTAACCATTATTCAGAAGAGGTTCAAGACATTTAACAGACAGAAGACAATGCTGAGATAAACTTCATTAAAACATGTTCTTTACTAAAATCTCAACAATTAAAATGCAGAACATTTCATCTCCACACTCACAGCCCTCATCTCTGAACACCTGACTCACTTGAGGTATCTAAAAATGCATTTTTTTATACAAAGATACAACCGTTTTTAATGCTTGGATGCTACTTTGAGCACCAGGCAGAAGACAAATATACATTTGACTTTGGAAAAAACTGTCCCTTCATAAACCATTGCTCAAAGAGGTGAGAGGGAAGGCAATAAGATGAGGAGGTTAACAACTTCAATGTGGCAGTTTCTTGAACAATACTGTGCAATTTTGTGTTGTTGAGGTCATTAAGAACTTCTGTTTCATTAAGAACAAATGTTTCTGATCAACTATTATCCCATTGCTATAGGACATACAATTGTATAGGATGTCAATGGCTTCAAAAGTGCATATCCAATTATAGATCAATAACAAGAACAATGTGCAAAGCCCTGCACAACTGGATCACAAAACACTGTCACAATATGATCTATTCATATCATCAACATGACATTAAAGTTAAAGTACTCAAAAATAGTCAAAAATAAAATAAAAATATAAATGTAAATTAAATGTAAAATATAAAAATCAAAAAATGTTTTATAAAAACAAAATTCAGACTTTTTTTCCACAGTATGCAAACGGTTCACTCCATTAGTTTGTTTTTAAGGGTTTGGACCTTTTTGAGTATCTTTGCTCCATCAAGCTCTAGCAAAAGTTTTTGGAATACTTCAAAGGTGTTCTTTAGCATCTTGGGATACTCTAGGTTGAGGGCATAGATTAATCCCATCAACAGCATGCATGCACGGGTTCGGTTTCCACACCTGCTCAGCACTTGGTTACCCTCGATCACAATTCTCACTTCTGCTGGATTGTGATCAGCCATGGGATTGTGGACAACAAGCACCTTCATGGCTTGATCCATGGGGCCCTCCAGTTCATCATACTAGATAAAAACAGATAAAGCACATACATTTTAATCTACAGATAATAAAAAGATGACATTCCAATACATTTCAATTGGTCAAGGAATACATTTTTACACAAGCTGATTTTTAATCAGCAATTTAGTTTGATTCATCAAATTATTAAACAAGTATTTAAAAAACTGGTTAAAATCAGTGTTTAACGATAAGGGTTAATAAGGGGCAAGGAAAAGGAAAATAATGGGAGAGGAGAAAAATAAGGAGTAGAAATAAGTGATAATAAAAGGAAAGGAGGGAAGACATAAAGAATGAATAGAGGAGAAAGAGGAGATGAAAGAAGAGAAAGATAATGAGCAGACAAGAGATAGAAGATGAGAGGAGAAAGAGGAGAGAACTTAACATTTAAAAACATACTTGGCAATCTTGGAAGAGGTCCTCCTGGTGTTCCCCAAGGTATTCAATGAGGCAACAGACAACAGTATCCCTTTTTTTCTCAACGCTCTGGGACTGTAAGGAAATGCATCTTAGTGACAAGATAACCCAAAATATCACTCATCTATTTTAATCTATATGATGAAAAAAATAATTTATACAATACAATTAATTTATTTAGGGCCATTTCACACTGGGTTCCCGGAAATGTTTGAGCACACTTGGCCCGGGAAACGGTTGATTCCAGGGAACAGGCGCGGTTCTCGGGAACACTTGCAGAGGTGGTCTGGGAAACATTTCAGGGCACGGAAGGTTGGACTTGTCGGACAGCGTGTGACATTTAACACCTTGTTACACACGTCACTCACCGTGAGCTGCAGTCAGATAATGGTTTGTAATGATATGAGGTTAACAAATGACATATTAAAAATAGTTACAGCGCCTGATCTGATCAAAGAGCAAACTAATGTCAGTGCAGCCAGACAAAAGAAACTCGCATCGGGCCAGAGTAAGCCCTGTGTGCATTTCTCGCTCCCACACACACACACACACCCACAGATAAGACGTGCA